AAGGACACATAACATGTGACTATCGTGTGGCACGAAATTTTTGCGGGAGTTTAATTTGTGGATCGGCGAATTTATTTTGTATATTGCGAGAACTACGTCTTTCGATTGTGATAAGCTGGTTTTTATTGATGAGTATTAATTTTCGCGATTTTCAGGTAGTCGCGTTTAATTTAAATTACAACATTTTGATTATTTATTACACTACATGGAATCAACAAGTGAAACAACATGCAGAGATGTGAAACACGGTAATCAATGTCATTCTCTTACAACCACATCTCACTCAAGTATGACTGATAGCACCTTTAGACGAGCCTTTTCTGTTAAACTTTAAGCAGCTACCTCTTAAGTGCATCAAGGGCAACTTCATTGTTTTATTTCCGAATGTTTTGTTTCTAATTTCAAAGTTATGTCTCTGAAAGAAAGAGGTGACATGGAAATAAATGGCATTAACAAGAATCTACCCGTGATGCTAGTGCGTATAATTTCGCAGAAGGGGTAAATCCTTGAGTAGGAAATTTTTGCGGGAGGTTTTTTGTTGGGGCAACCTTTTTTGCGGATCGTGGAAAAACGCTAAAGATCACAAAAATTACAACGCGCAACAATTTCGTGTCAAACGATAGACTATACTGTATGTCAATCGTGTCTTTAAAGTGTAACTCGCTACCATTCCAATATTTGTAGATCTTATAGACTTTTCAGGAACTTGCTCTTATTGAGCAGTCTCGGCCCGGGGGGGGAGGGGTACTCCCAGAAAAATTGGGTGGGGGTGTGCGGCCCGCTGCCCAAAACCCTTACCCTATTTATGACCAAAATCTGGGATTTTCCCTACCCTATTTATGACCTGGCGAAAAATTTGATACCCTATTTATGACCGTTGCGGCTGGCACAGTTGCCCTAAACATAATTTATGTAGGGCTATTGTTGATGGTCTTGTCGGTTATGATGAAAAAGTAGCTTCTTCTAAAAACCATACCCAATAGGCCATTTTGCTAATGCAAATATTTCCTAGTTCCGTTCCCTTGTGTGGGTGGCAAGAAGTGATCACTCAGCAAAAACTGGCCTCATTAATTCATTAAATAGATCAAATTTTGGCCCCACAAGGGACTGGAGCTAGCCTTAGCAAAATGGTGTAATCAAGCGCGGACTAGAGTATGGCCAAAATCGATTCCCTATTTATGAACCAAACGTCTGAAAACCATACACTTTGGGGTCGCACACACCTATATAGCCCATATAAGGTAGTAACCCCACCCCCCGGGAGTCTCAGAGGCAAACCAATAAAATGCTTTTAACTGTTTTAGACTGTAGCGTTGTTTATGAACGTTTTTGTGGAATCACGGAAGCGGGTAAGGTGTACGTAGCTGATGCTTGTCGGCTATTTTTTCCTAGGGTGTTATTTTAATTAATTTCAAGGATCTTTAATCATTGGTAACAATTTATCTTTAGAGGAAAAAAATTCCATGCGCATGTCACAGAAATAACAAGTTTGTAGCGACCTCTAAATCAAACGGCAGTTTGTGTGGCATACGAAACAAGAACACAGTCTAGTTTTACTCTTGAATACCAATATGGATGTCATGCCAAAATGCTGTACCCTCCACTCGGTTTCAAACGGACTTAATATAAGGTGTAGCTCTGTAAATCTTAGGTAGGGGTGTGCCATTGGGGCACTGAAACCCTTACCCTATACCAGACCATAATCAGCTTGATTTTGCAACCCTATTCTATACTTGGCACTAAAACCCCCTACCCTATCCCAGACTAGCTGTTTTTCTTGCAGAAACATCACTACTGTAGTCCAACATACACTAACTAAACCAACATCATTTTTGAGTTTCAGTTTCTATTATAGAACCCCCTAGTAAAGAACCCTGCTGTAGACTAAATTATTTATGTACTAGCCACTTTTGCGTTAAATTATACCCTATTCCAAACCAAAACTGTATGATTTCTATACCCCATCCCAAACTAAACTGCCTGAAAACCATACCTTTCACAGCGGCATATACCCATATATGTTATATATCGGAGTACCGACCCCGGGCTCNCAAACCAATAAAATGCTTTTAACTGTTTTAGACTGTAGCGTTGTTTATGAACGTTTTTGTGGAATCACGGGAGCGGGTAAGGTGTACGTAGTCGATGCTTGTCATCTATTTTTTCCTAGGGTGTTATTTTAATTAATTTTGAGAATCTCTCCTCATTGGTGACAATTTATCCTTAGAGGAAAAAAATTCCTTGCGTATGTCACAGAAATAGCAAGTTTTTAGCGACCTCTTAATCAAACGGCAGGTTGTGTGGCATACGAAACAAGAACACAGATGAGTTTTTCTCTTGAATACCAATATGGATGTCATGCGAAAATGCTGTACCCTCCACTCGGTTTCGAACGGACTTAATTTATGGTGTAGCTCTGTAAATCTTTAGGTAGGGGTGTGCCACTGGGACACTGAAACCCTTACCCCATACCAGACCATAATCAGCTTGATTTTGCAACCCTATTCTATACTTGGCACTAAAAACCCCTACCCTATCCCAGACTAGCTATTTTTCTTGCAGAAACTTTATCACTACTGTAGTCCAACATACACTAACTAAACCAACATCACTTTGAGTTTCAGTTTCTATTATAGATTAAATTATACCCTATTCCAAACCAAAACTGTATGATTTCTATACCCCATCCCAAACTAAACCGCCTGAAAACCATACCTTTCACAGCGGCATATACCCATATATGTTATATATCGGAGTACCGACCCCGGGCTCTAAACCCCCTTCCACATTTTTTATTTTTTCACTTTTGTGAAAAGTGGAATCTTGACATGCTGATTACAATTCGATTTTAAATAATAGGGTCACTGGATTCGTTTTTGAGTTGCTATGGAAACCATTTGCGTCGCGAAAATGACCATAAATTGTTTACCGAGGATATCGATTAGGCATTTCTTGATATCATTAGTATGGGTCGTATGGCATCAACTGAAAAAGATTACTGGCACAAAAAGTTGATTCCTCAAAGACTAAGTGCTAAGAACGGCTGATTTCTTTCGATAGGTTGTGTTCCAGTAAAGTTGTACCAACTGCACATCTGGTTTGTTACCACTCGTGAAGATTTCTTAACTTAGTAACAAAAAATAAGTCAGAATTCAGAAGTGCACATTTACCGTAGGAAACGAACGTAA